ATATATATATATATATATGTTTAATGTTTAAATTTTGTTACTGTCTTATACACTGATAAATCCCTTAAATGGTTTCATGAAATTTCCCTCTAAAAGAAAAATAATGTTATTCAATATTAAATAAAATGTAGAGAATAAATATAAAAATAATTGATAAATATAAATGAAAATAAGTAATAATATAACATAAGTAAAGAATAAATTCTTCTTATTTCAAAAATAATTCTTATTATTTAAGAATAAATAAAAAGGTATTATGATAAATGTAAAAAATATATTTAAAAAATAATTCAAGAGAATAATTACAGAATAAATATAAATGAAACATTTTCTTAAAAAGTAAATATAAAATGCAATAAATATAAATGTATTATAATAAAAAAATAAATGTTAATAAATATAATTTTTTAAGAGAATAAATAAAAAATATTATAAATGAAAATGCATATAAAAGGCTCCCAAGACAATAATAAAAAAAATATATATATATAAATGAAAATAAATATAAAAGTATCCTAAAAGAGTAAATAAAAAAGTAAGAATAAATATAAATGTATTGTTATAATAAAATATAAATGTCAATAAATATACAAATAATCTAAGTCAATAAATAAAATTAATACAAATGTTAATACATATAAAAAATCTTCTAAAAGAGTAAATATAAAATGTAAAAATAAATATAAATGAATTATAATAAAATATTAAATGTTTATAAATATAAAAAATTGTAAAGAATAAAAAAGAAATTACTAAAATAACAAAATTGTTTTAATCACTCAAATTTTGTTAATAATGCACTCGCACAATAACTACCAGTTACGGTCCAATCAACCTGACACTAATGTTGCAGAGTGAAATTGCAGTAATGCTCAATAATACTGGCACTAGAAGCTTTACTAGATGACTCGAGTGCCTTGAGGGGTGGCGTTGTTGCTACGGGGCCCGAAACAAAAAGCATGACTGATTATACTGAATGGTTGGTTTTAGTAAAACCTGTTCATTAAAACGGGTGTGTGTTGTTTTCTTCTCCAGTTACAACAACTAACAACAAAAACACTGCATATATCAGACAACCATAGCAGAACATCTCCCACTGTAAAACCCAATCAGCCACCTGCACAAAGCATCTGTTGGAGGAGGAGGAGTGACTGTTGTAGTAAAGCAGCCTACGGCTTTATTACCGCATTCATTCCTTCTCCACATGTCCAATGTTTGGACTGGTTTCAATGTCCATCAGCGGATGAAACACTGAAAAGACATGCAGTCAAGGCCATAGAATTCTGTCCATAGCTCTGACCCGGTCCAAAAGTGGGCTTAATGGAGATTAGGTCTGGCATTGCATAATTTTCATCCGAACTAAGCTGCAGTGCTGTTTAATGTGTTTTCCAGAGGTGCAGTGAGAAAGCTGGCACATGAGAAGAGTGAGAGAGGCTTGTGCACCTGTTGGTGTTGTGAACCCAGCAGGGTTGCATTTCATTCTGGCACGCGGCCATCACAGCACATTTACTGACATCCACAAGTTTTCTCCACTCGATAGAAGCTGCAAAGCAGTCCATCCACACAATTTGACAAATGCACAACTGAAAATGAGCACATCTTTCTCACATTTTCCTAAACTAAAAGCCAGGTTCTAAATAAATAAATAAATAAATACATAAATCTAGATCAACATATCCAGGTGTTTCTGTGTATATATGGCAAATTTTTACATTCACAAATGTAATATATCATAGATTACAAAATCATATATGAAACCTATTAGAAATTGGAACCAATTCATATATTGACATATATCTCTAGCCCACACAAATATGTATGTAATATTTATTTATTTATTAATATTGACATATATGGTTGCTACATGAAGTCCATATAAAAATCATAATATATAAATATTATTAACATCTGTACATATACAAGTTTTACAACAGTGATTTTATATATGTTATAAACTTATATGTCAATATGTCATATATTACATTTCTGTATGGGTTAGGCCATTTTTTTTCTATCATGTGATTAATTTTCTTGCCATTGTGTAAGCAATCAAGTTACAATAAATACTGTTAATGTGCAGGTGTGATACTGAGGTAAACGCTCTAATGTGAGACTGAGGTAAACACAAATGTTTAATTAATGGAAAACAATAAGCAGGATAAATTTGAAACTGTCAGTTAGATGTGCCACAAAGAAGCAGTGAAAATTCAAGTGTCACCAGTGTCAAAGAAGGGTTTGTCCAGACAAATGAGAGAAGCCCATTACACTACTATGACAACAACTTTAGGCTATAGAGCTTTTAAAATGGCTGATAAGATTTCCCAAGCAAATAAACCAAACAAAAAGCTCTGTGTGCAATCCCACAGTCCTCTACTATTTGACACGCATTAGGAAAAACGGCACTCTCTGCATAATACAAACTGCACCACATAATACTCTACAGAATCTTGCACACACTCACTTATTTGCATTGATTTGCATGAACGGTCTTCATTGAAGATAAAATTAATGTGTTAAAATAAATTACTAGAGGGGGGATTATAAGTAAAAGAAAGACAATAGATTAGACAAATGATGGAGAAAATTGTGATGTACAAAAACAAGCTTGTAAGGACTGCAATGTGGACTCCCTGTAGCTGAGAAGAATGGGGGGTTTTGCCTTGTGGGGCACTGGCGGCCCTTTCATGGACATTGAGGCACAGTGTGATGCTGGGGTTGAACTATGATACTCCTGTCAAAGAGAACATTAATTTTTCCTACAATAAGGGCCTGATGGAATAGCCACATGTGACATGTGGAGATGGGTGAGAGGGGCTGGACAGGGGTGCGGAGGTTAGGGGGCTGAGGAGGGGTCGGATGGAGGGTGTACCATCTTCATTTTAGTAAGGGATTCATACAAAACCCATGGAGGAAAAAATGTAATCCTTGAAGAAAAATATAATTGTAATAATGATTTTAACAACTACAATTACGGTTAAAATTGCTGATAAAATAAAATAAAATAATCTATAGTGTAAAACAAAAGAGAGCTGTTATTTTATATTTAATCTATTTCTGGTTGTTAACACTCCCCCCAAAAACTGCACAAAAATGCTCAAGCCATGTTCAGTTATTTATGCAGGTTTGCAGCGAAAGCATTAGTACTTAAAGCCCGTCCACTATGATTAACAATCAAACATGCTGAGAAACGCTTATGTTATCCCCCAACTCCGCAGTACAAGAGAAAATCTCTTTTTTGTCATCAAATCCCTAATTCTTTCCTCTCAAAAAAAAGCAATACCAGTTTCCAATCTGCTTTGAGAAATATTTTGTGGGGGGGGCAGCGGCGGCCATAAAACATGTGAACAAGGGGGTAATTGTGGACAAATGCAGACAGAACTGCCCACTAATAGTGAATAATTGGTTGTAATACACTCTTTACCAATGATGTGCATCAATGGCAGCCATTTTCCTTTTATTTAGATTTTAGAAATCAACCCTGAGCAAAAGAGCCCTATTTGTTATACAAGGTAGCAGGCACGAATGCTATATAATGTCTATAACAAGAATCTTTGCACAGAAACACAAGAACAAAACCAGCATGTAATTTCACTAGAACAAAAAAAATTAAATTGAATTTACAAAAGCCTTACTGGCTTCCCGTTTTATAACTTTCCTCTATGGCATACTGAAATTCAACAGGACTCAAAGATGTATCAGAGCAAGACAAGACCATACTTTTTTGCTACGTTCTAGTTAATTAAAACATCCTGACTTATTCAAATGTCTGTTAACACTTGAAAACTACTTCCAGACAATTAAACATACAGATCCATTAGTTTAGTGTGATTACGCAGTGCTAGCAGCTTTGACTGCATATGGGATTTATTCTCTTTAGGGTATCCTGTATTGTCTCAAAACTAATTTTCTTAGAATCAAACAATTAAATCTTTATTTTAATTAGGAGAGTGGGTAAAACAAAGGAATATTAATTAGAAAACATTATCTTATAAACACTTCACGAGTACAACAGGGTATCATCCAATAGAAGATGATGTCTGCTCAGTACACATGAGAGGCATCTAATCACAGGAAGTACATGGCAGTGCACAAAGAATATGCTGTTTTATCTTCAGAGAGGTCTTGTAATTCCACTTGAAAGACTCCTTGACATGTGGCTGTAGAGAGGAGTATTTAAACACTGTGGCCAGTGTCCCTTACTGACCTGTGGAGATAGTCCATTGCTGACGGGATTCATGTGATTACTGCTTGCTGACTGGCTCATGAAGGTGTCGGTGTAGCAGGAGAAACTGTGGCGGTTGGACGAGAGGCCATAGGCGGAGCTGCTGTCGCTCGAGAGCCCGCCCTGATGCATGGTGGAGGGGGGCAAGGGCTGGGGCCGATGCACCGTGCCACTGCCGTCTGGGAAGAACAGCACATTTAATTAGAAAACTATTCTCAAATGCATCATGGGAGCGTTCGTTTTATTGTGAGTCATGTATGACAGTGTTTCCCAACCTTTTTTTAGTCACGGCACCCTTTGGAAATTTTGGGAAAAAAGCTATTATTTTCAGAACACGTGAGCATAACATAGCGGTTAGTAGATCAATGAATGAGAGGACAGCGTTACCAGAGTTGTCCATATACCACACCATGTTACAGCACAGTAGGGCTATTGCAGACAGAAACAATACTGTACTACATCGATGTTTCTTGTCGGCTCATTTTTTGAGTGGACTTTGCTGTTCCGATGAGCATGAACGGTATACAAGTGGAGCGACTGAGCAGAGCGTACAAGCATAGAGTGGGATAATACGCAGAGCGTCACACCACATGAAAGTGAAACCTGAGCGGTGAACTCATTTTCGGCAACTGAAATTTCGGTGCATCTCTAATTATTGGCGACATCAGAAATGGATATTATATAATAGATGCTTTTTTGAACATTTTAGCAATTTAAAAATATTAAAAACTGATTTTTTTACACGGCACCCCTGCTCTTGACAGACGGCACCCCGGTTGGGAAACACTGATGTATGAGATGTGTTTGTTGAGTATTAAGTAAACACAAAAAAGGGTCAAATTATTAAAAAAAAAAAACATTGGTTAACATACCTTGTGGTAATGTTGTTGAAGGATAAGCGGACTCAGGAAGCTGGTATGTTGGTAAAGTGGGCATGCCTGTGGGTGGAAACCCTCCAGGTAACAGGTGGTTAAATGCCGCCAGTTGACTAGCTCCAGCTTGTTTACGCCACCTCGCTCGACGGTTGCTGAACCAAACCTGAAATAATAAGAATAAAAATAAGTGCACTGAAATTCTGGCCAATACCACTAAGCTAACTTTTAATTTCATGTCTAATAAATGAAAACTGGTTGATATGTAAGGGATAATGCACGGCTAGCTGTGTATGAAACGATTTTAATGAACAATCTGGAACCAAGAACCACCCGACGCGAAGCGGAGTGCATTAAAATAATTTTAGCATTACCCCGCTTATACCATGGTCATTTGCCAGCATTGACAAGTTAAAGCTGGTAATGATCTTAGCAGCGCAATATTTGACCGGAAGGGTAAAAATGACGGTTATTTTCGTCAGTTACGGCTCGTTAGCTCTTGCATTCTGCCCACTTCAAATCAGACACAAACATGAAGTAGTGTGTTAAGATCACATTTATTTGAAATAATTAATTATAACATTTATTTGAATTAATTATCAATCGAGAGAGAGAGAGAGATGGCAGTTGTGTGTGTGAGTTACCTGTCTGAGCGTCTCTCTCTACAAATAATGAAGCTGTTCGTTTCGTAAATTATATAGCGTTTTTATCTCCTTGTTGCTAAGGAATATAATGCAGCGATTCAATATCTAAGCCATTTTATTAATAAATGTCGCGGGACAGTGTTGACAATAAGTTTCTGTGCTCCTGAATGATTTTGTATGTGCGAAGCGCGATCTCTGATCTCTCTCTCTGTGTGTGTGTGTGTTTGTGTGTGTGTATGTGTGTCAATGAAAGCAGCGCATTAATATAAAATGGTGATTAAACTGACTTGGAATTACCTGTGCATTAAATACAGAGTTCTGGCATGAAACTCTAGATGGCGCTTCTCAATCTGACATAAGGATATCACATTATCACATGGCACAGCTGATTGGTTCTCTCCTGTATCTGTAGCCAATGAGCTCGCTGCTCAACATTCAAATATATGATTAGAGCTTGCAGTAGCAGTTGCAGCTAGCTTCAGTAACCCTCCACCTTCTCCAGCTCCACCTGTATAGATCTGCTATGAGGTGATTCATGTATGCTATATGGGGGTTATTTCAAGTATTTTATATTTGCAACAGCAATATTTCTTACATGCTCACAGCAGCATGTTGTGGATGTATTGGCAGTAGCAAGTCTCGGTACTTGCTCTGCCGCAGCAGCAGCAGCGTAGCAGATCTATTCTGCCAAGACCAAATACATTAACATTGTCATGTACATTACCATGCCAATCCCTCTGAGAATTGTCATGACAGAAACGATTTTAATGCACACCTGCCAGCCAATCAGAATATGAGAGTGCACTTAAAGAGATAACCCTTAAAGGGTAAAATATTTGCAATAATCTATCCCTTATATATTTAGTTTAAAAGTTAGTGCTAGATGATGGCAAAAGTAATTTGAATCTTATAATGAGTGGAAATATATATAGATATATTTCTAATGTATAAATTGTGTTTTTATATCAAAATATGTAATATTTCAGAGATATTTTGAATGAACAAAAAGCCTCTATTTAAAGAAAGAAAGAAAGAAATGCCTCTGCCACATTAAGACACATTTTCAAAGTTTCATTCTAATGAAACTCATTGAACGGGGAGCACGGCCAGTAACCTGCACCTCTCTGGGGCCGAGGACTGCCCCTGTGTATGCAAAAGAGTGAATGACATTGATCTATGCCTCAGAGGGGCCATTCTTCAGACTTTAATACACTGGCAGTGCAGTTAATCTACTGTTGTTTTTCAAATGGTCCCCACCATTGTGAGTGGAAGTGAAAGAGGGGGACAATGGCCCTTCAATGAATCAGACCACAAAGAGAGGGCGTCCCTTTTTAAACAGCTCCTCAAGAATGACGCTTTCAGCCTAGGCATTGATCAAGGGGCTGGCGTAGACATACTGTATGAGTACACACTCTTTCTCTGCCTTGCCTTGCTTTTATCCTCCCAGGCTCCCCTTCAATCTTTGTACACAAAATGACAAAGAAAGATAAAAAGTCTGATTATTTTTCATAAAATCGTGAGCCATAGAGAACAGTGTATTACAGCAAGATATTTTTATAAATGCAATATATATATATATATACTTCTGACCGGTACTTTTGAC